CCTCGTCGAAGCCCGCCCGACGATCTCCTCCCTCGTTCGTCGAAATTGGCGGCCCCTCGATCGATTCAACGATCACCGTGATCCCGGTAGAAATGTAGATTAAAAGGCACAAGGTTCTCAATCCGTGCTTCATCGCGTTCCACGAAAGGAAGATCGAGGAGAAAGTCTCGCGATGATGAAGTTTTTCCCTTGATTCCCCGCCAAATTCAGGCCAATCGCTCCATTCCCGAAGAGGAAGAATTCGAGGATTGATCGATTTCGCTCATCCGACGTTTTCCATCGTTTTTCTCCTTGGAGAAAACGAAGAGAAGGAAAGAATGGAAGAGGAGGAAGAATAGTGGTAACCGGGTTCTGGAACAATACTGTTGATCCAACGCCCACGATCGGCCCCCTATATAGGCGGCAAAGGACGTTCACACACACGCGGAACAAACAATTGGTTTCACTCGGTGAATCTTCTCGAGCAGCGAAAGTTCTCGAGCTGGTTGTGTTCTTTTCATTTCGTACGAGAGATCGAGGATCCCTCGATACACCGGATGCACTCGAGCAGGCCAATTTCGAGAGTTCGAGAAGCGAGAAGCGAGTTAGACTGTCAGAAATGTCGGTTTGCGAGAAATTCTCGCGCGATTTTGGACGAAAAAAAAAAAAAAAAAAACTATTGAATATTTGAAATATTTAAATATCGATCCAATCGATCTAAGATGTAAAAACTCGCGATTATAAAAAGTATTTCTATAAGAATTCGTCGAACAGGATGGAATAATTCAAATCTACGGATTATCATCGATGTAAACCGGTATCATCATCGATTCATGAAAGTGATGAAATTGAGAAGGGAAAAGTTGTTGAATCGCGCACGACGTCGTTTCCCTCCTAAGACTAAGACGAAAGAGATCCTCCTTGAATGCAAATTACTCTTTCAACTTGCCTTTATTTAACTATCGTCCATTCAGCTTGTTTCAAACGTTTATTTGACAAATATACACTTTTGAACGTCGAGAGGATTACGTTTGAGCGATGAATATATGCAAAACTCTTTGTACGTTCTTTTTTTTCTTTCCTTTTTTTTTTTCCCCCCAAAGGAAACATGAAAAAATCGAAACGAATCGATCTAAAGCGAACGACAAATAATAGACATTTTATCCCAAAAATTATTCGATCAACGAGAGTCCGCAAATGTTCGCTCTTTTAACTTTAAGAAAAGAAAAAAACACACGCGCGCGCATCGATTTAGAAAGGAGAGAAAGGGAGAGTGCGACAAAACAGCTTCGTATAAAATTAACATTTATTTATAAATAGTTCGATATAAGTTACATGGCGACCCGGGCACGGGATGAGAATATAAATAATCATTGGATGAAATCTGGTAGCCCTGTACAGGTACTGACTACTGAGTCCGAGCGCGTTCGACCCGGGATCTGCGATCGAGGGATCGTCGACCCCCCTCGAATGGGTATACCGTATATCGATCACTGTGGTGGAACGTGATATATTCATACCATTTCACCACCGTTCACCATAATGAATAAAGTCCGTCATGGCTGCTTTTCGTGCTGCTTACGTCACAATTGACGAAAATCGTGATCCAGCGATCGACACACCCGATATGCAACCGTCTGATCCAAGTCTGAGGAAAATATCTCTATTCGGCGGTCGGCAGTCGTAGTACGTGGCGTCACGTGTGTATGTGTGCGTAAATGTAGAATATGTGTGTCACTGTGTAACGATACTACACCGAGACGAGCATCGACTCCAGAGTATCCAGGTGATCGATCGATCGGTCGGTCCGTCCAATCAGGTCGATCGCACAGTTTCAGTTAGACGAAGTCCTCGAGGGATCGAGATCGGCGCAGCCCCTCGGCCGAACGATCACTTTGGCGAGCGAAGGTAGTGAGTTG